AAATATGTTTACTGACAATAAATTGCGATTTTTATTAAAAATTCATAAGTTATTAAAATATTATAATATATAACTTATATAATATAAAACAAAGCACAATAAACTAATCATGATTCTATTTTGTTGTAAATAACCAAGAAAATGTACCCTTGATTAAAAGTAAATATCAGGAAAATGTACCCAGATAGTATTACTCCCTATTTTGAATGCTTATCAATTGATGGAGCAGTTGTTTCACAGTATAATACATTCTAAACGTACTCACAATTTGTTATTTATTTTACAATGATTTTGGTATAAGAATTAATTTATGTAAATTCATGTAACATGACATCACATTAAACCATTGATTGTATGTTATTTTTATACCAAATTAAATTACTAAATATGAAAATAACATTAATATCATATAAATGTTGTTTTATAAATTTTAAAATCACATTAGTAGTTTTAAGTTTATGCAAAACACTTATTTGGAATTGCAATTATTTAAATTAAAATTAAATATTGTTTAAATAAAGTTAAAAAGTTACATGGGCTTATTTATATCATAGAATTTTAACGGAGAATACTTGCAAAATGTCATCGCAAACAATGTCCATTAGATATCGGTATTTCTTGACATTTGTGATATATTTTTGTTATATATTTTATGTAAGTAAAAAGATTTGAAAATTATTTATCAAATGCAATGCATTTACAACTAATTTGTTTTAAAAGACAATACAAAACTTCATAATGGGTCCGGCATTACCTGAGTTACAGGTTATATACAGCGCTAGTGTTCAACAGATCTCAAACACACAGACCATTGCCTCCGCTTTCTATTTGGTTGGATCTCTCAGTAAATATTATTGATTATTACTTACAAAATACTTTAAAATTCTTGTTTCACTAATTTATAAGCTTATATAGCAATATGGTATACATACAATTTATTATGTTTTTAGCTGGGCCATTTTTTAATAGAATTAATAAACAGATTGGTTATATGATATGCCAGTTAATGATAGGCATATGTGTCGCTTGCATGACATACGCCCGACGATTGGATGTATTGTACGTATTATACGCTATCATTAACATAGGCTGCGGAGGAATAGACTCCGTGACCAACGTATGGATTGTGGAGATGTGGGCCGACAATTGCGGGCCCTATACTCAGGGATTGCAGTTTGTGATGAGTATCGGAGCGCTTATATCGCCTCAAATTATAAACCCATTTCTACCAAAACAAGTATTTATATCCGATGATAATGATAACAATAACACAGCTTTTATGAACAGCACATTGAATAGCACAGCAATTAATGATTTAAACACTCAATCATCATATTATACAAAATCTACTATTAATATCCCGTTTACATTCATCGGAGCTATTATTGTATTTAACGGTCTATTCATAGGGTCTTTAAATTTTTACAAGAAATATATTCCTCGAGAGATTGGGACAAAATCTAATGAAGCGGAAGGCAGTAAAACTTCAATAATTACCATGATCAAACAAAAGTTTAAAACTGAATTAATGCCAACAAAGGCAATACTCGCTGTCATATTATTATCAGTAATTCTGATTGGATTGGTTGGCGTTATCGCAAACCTATGGACTTTTTGGCCACTTTATGCCGCGTCCAGTGGTCTCCATATGAGCAACGAGTTGGCCGACAACATCAATACCGTACAATTGGCCGCCACTACCGTCAGTCAGGCCATAGCCATACCGCTATCCC